TTTTTGAGCATTTCCTTCATTATTCTTGTCATCTCACTTTTTGCCTGAGAAATTATTTCTGATCTCATCTCTTCTATGGCCTTATGCAGTTGTTTCTTTACCTCCATTGCAATCATTTCAGCTATGTCAGGCATGTGATTACCAAGTTCTCCTATGGTGATATCTCCTGGACTTGTTCTGATTGGGGTGAAGTTCTGGGATTGTGTTTTAGTCTTTTATTTTGACATGTTCGCTATGGGTTGCAGAAAGCTCAGTTTCCCTTTTCAGTAGCTGTACAGCGAAGCCCACTAGTGTTCCTATTTTTCTTGTTGTTCAGGTTTGCCTCTGGGTGACCTCTGAGTAGCGCTACTTATCCTCGGGTTTTCTGGCAGTTTTTGATTTGTATCTAGTTATCTCTGTTCTCAGACATGGGCACTTGTGTCAGTTGATGGCCGATCTTCTGATCCAGTGTCCCCTTGCAGTTCAGTGCACGTGCATGACCTCAGGTTGCACTGGTGCAGCAATCCTGCTCCAGTGGACCTATGTCTCCAGGCCATTTAGGGTACAGGCATGATTCGGACACAAACTGCAGGGTCTACAGTTTGTGGACCACCTGAATCTATGTCTCCACTCAGTTCAGGACTCATACAGGAAGCAGATGCAGCCCAGATGGGTAGCAGTTGCAGACTTTCCCAGCCTTCGACTCACTGGAGGGTCTGGGGAAAGGCAAAGCAGAGACTCGAACCCACAGGCCCTCCCACTCCCGGGGTGTTCGCTGTCTCGGCGCAATGCGCGCACTCCTGGGGGAGCCTGCTCGGCCGGCTCAGAGAGCCTGCTCGCCCCACCCGTCCTCTGGGTCTCTGTGCCTGGGCCCCTCAGTCTGTAATGTCTGCAGGGTCTTTGTTCGCGAGTTCTGCTCACAGGGATTAGATGGGAGGTACCTGGCCCTCTCCGCGTGTTTCAGCTGGGAATCATGGTGGTGTGCATCCAGCACAGACTCGAACCCATGATCCCTGCCACTCCAGGGTTGCTCGCTGTCTCGGAGCCCTGGGGTGTTCGCTGTCTCAGTGCAAGGCGCGCGCGGCTCTGTGTTTGCTCTTGAAATCCCCGCAAATGAGCTTATCCTATGTGAATTGAGATGTGTGGCTTCCTTACTCAGTGTAAAGTCTTTGAGCTTGATCTCTGGCTTGGACATGTGTAGAACTGTACATTGCTATGTACCTATGCATGTAGGAGAAATTTTTATTGACTTTCCTGTTAAGTATGTGTTTTGTAAAGTACAGATTTCTCACAATGCTTGCTGTTGAAAACCTCCCAGTTGATTCCTAGACTGAGTAGGCAGACATCCCACAGGGACCACAACATTCGCACCTTGTCCCTTATCACACTTCCTTCTCAGTTGCCAGCTGATATCATTTAATGTGCGTATTTGATTACCGAGTGGGGTCACACATTCATTAATATAAGCCTTGATATTTGATAGGCACTTTGTACAAATTGCCTTGGTAAAGATCAAAATCGTGTGGGAAGAGATTCTTCTGATTTTTCACTCACTCTTTGTTTAATTTAAGGTGATTTATGGCATTAGGAATCCCAGAGATGTTCTTGTGTCTGGTTATTTTTTCTGGAGAGAAACGAACATTTTCAAGATACCAGAGACGCTGAAGGAATTTATGGAATTGTTCCTCCAAGGACATGGTGAGTGTCTGTACAACAGAGAATCAGAGTCTTTCTCTCCCTTCACTGGACTCTCCTTGACTTTCCACTCCCAGCAACATGCGAACCCAAGGCTCCATCCTCACTGTAATACAGATCTCATACATGTCTTTGACCCCCTGCACAGCACTAGGACTCCAGCATTCTCTCAAGTTGCTCACTGGTAACCATCCTATTTTCTAAGTCGCTAGAGTGTGTAGTGCTCAACTAGACCCTTTACAAACTACTCACTTTAATCTATTCTCCCAATTTATGGCTTTCTGAAGGTCAAATTTGCATTGACTTTTCCCACAATTTCCCTAATAATGCCTCTTTCCAAAACTCTCAGAATGTTCTCTCTGCCTCAAAAATGTAGGACATTAGAAACTTTGTAAGTTTCATGAGTAGAATTTCTGGTTTTTCCCTGGTACTTTTAAATTTGCCAATTTTCTCAAAACCAAGTGAAGACAGCTGAGCGAGGTGGCACACACATGTAATCTCAGCACTTGGGAGGCTGAGGCAGGAAGATCACCTTGTGCTCAAGGCCAGCCTGGGTTACATAGTGAATTTGGAGTCATCCTGAACTACATAGAGAGACTCTGTTCCCCCCCTCAAAAAATGAATTTTTGAAAAGTACTGTAGGAAAAGTCCCACATTTCCACTGGGATATACATGGTGAGATCCATAAGGACATATTCCCAGGGTCAAGCTTCAGTTTTATCTGCATCAGTACTGTCACCAGACGGGGAACAAGGAGGTCCCCCAAAGGGGAGGTTGGGACCTTGATTCATGACATCCATAGAGGCAGTTGTAGTTTTCTGGCTGTCATGGCCAAGGGAGAATTTTCAAGATGCATACGTATAAGGCAAAAAGAATTCATCAGGCAGAATATTTACACATCACACTCAGGAAGAATACAGTATGGGTGCTCAAGAAAAAGGACAATATGTTCTGTGGTTGGGGGTTCATGTGCGGTCTTGAAGTATGCTCAAAGTGACTGATCTCAGATGCGTAGTCCTACTGTCATTGAGCCCTTTTGTGGGGTAGATTAGGATGTAAGCCCTTTGCGCATATTTGAATTTTAGAGATATGTCACTCTCTTAATTGTGTCATTTCACTGAGGATGGAGGTCTGTGTGTTGAAGAACAATTTACAGGTAAAAGCATGGGCCTCAATTCAGAATGACTGTGTCTTTATCCCCCTAAGGAGTTTGCAGAATGGAAGGGGCATTGGAAATTTGAGTCATTTTTGTGTTCTTAGCCTGTGGGTTTTCTTTAAATACTATTTTAAAGTATTTTAAATAATACTTTAAATATTAACTATACTGCCTCATTTCCTCCCATAGATTTTGTTTTTTTATTTTTAAGGGATGTTAGGGATGAGAGTCCCTCTTCTTATGGCTGCTTTAGGTTTAAAGTTATTGTTGTCCAAAAGGCTAGGACTTGAAAGCTTTGTCCTGCCTGACTTATACAATGGAGGCAGAGAAAGATCTCATTTGGCCTGTGTATCTGCAAATACATTTCCTTGAGAAATGGAATCTGTTGAATTTTGATGTGTCCTGCAGTGTTTAACTGCTGCTTGTTTGGGAGCTGTGGTTTTGGTGGTCTGGTGTAAGGGAATAGTAAAGAAGGCATGTTTGAGATCTAACACTGTAAAGAGGGTTGTAGATGGAGGAATATGAGAAAGCATAGTATAAGGGTTTAGCACGACAGGGTGAATAGGTGTAACTGCATTATTAATACCTGTAAGATCTTGAACTCAACTGTAGGAGCCATTAGGTTTGATTAGTGGAAGAACAGGAGTGTTATAAGGTGAGTGTGCGGCTTTAAAGAACCTATTTGTGACAAGATGTTTAATTATGGGTTTGAGTCCCCATTGGTGTTTGGGGTCTATTTGGGGAATGCAGGGATAGATGAATGGATAACTGAGTCAGATGGAGACAGCAACAGAATGGGTTGAGTGGGTGGGGTTGGAAGTGTCCCAGACTATGTGATCAATCAGTAAGGGGGTAAGGGAGGGTCAGGATTGGCAGCATGCAGTGATGTCAGCTGAAGTATGAGAGTCTTAGGGATAGAAAAGGTGAAGGAAAAGTTGAGTTTTGGAGAAGGTCTCTCCCATGAGAGGGGCTGTTTGGGACATTGAAAAAGATGTGAGTGAAAAAGAGTGTCTGGAACCAGCAAGGAATAGGTCCTGTCTGGAGTGGCTTCGTGGGTCAGCCATCAATCTCCACTACAGAGATAAGGATTGGGTACAACGGCCAGAAACCTCAGGAAGAACATGGTATGTGGCCCCCGAGTCAACAAGAAAAGAGAGTGTCCCACCTGAATGATCTAGTGAGGCTCGGGGCTCCAAGTAGGATACCTTTATGAGGGCTGTGCATGCCAAGCCCCATTAATCCTCTTCAGCAGTGATGCCTAGAAGGTCAGCGAGTGATGAGTCTGGTGGTGGTAGGTTATCCTGTGAGGGTGGGGAAATGGATGACTTATCCACTTTCTGGGGGGCAGGCAGTCACACTTCCAAAGACCCACTAGGCTGTAGATAGGACAAAGTCTCCTTGGTGACCGAGGCTTGGGGCAAGGCTTGTGCCCAGTGTCCTTCTCTGCTGCACTTGAAGCCTGGTCTTGGAGGGGCTCGGGCATGATCACTGTCACCGCCTTGCTTGTCTACCTTAGGAATCCCGAGTGCCGCTGCTAGAAGCTCACGTTAATATTTGGCTTGTGCTTTAGCAATAGCCATTTTACTAGCCATTTGTCTAGTTTTTGTTGATGTTCTCTATTGTTGAAGACACGGAAAGCCAAGGCTAAAAGCTCTCCTTGTGGAGACTGAGGGCCGAGCTCAGACTTCTTAAATTTAGTCTGACTATCTGGGGCTGACTGAGAGATGAAATAGGTATTAATGAGAATTATTCGCTCACTAGATTGTGGATTAACATTGATAAACTTGCTGAGAGTCTTAGTAAGGTGAGTAATAAACTCAGCAGGGTTTTCATCATCTCTGTGTTTGTTCAAAAAGCTTGCTGAAATTAACAGGCTTGTGACAAATCTTATAGAGACCCGCTATTATACAAACAATCATAATATTAATGTGTCATGAGCCATCTGGTTCTTGATAATTCCAACTAGGGTCCTTTAATAGCACCCCAGCAGCCCCAACAGGATGGTTGGGATTAGCCTGATTTTTTTCATCAGCCATATTTTTGACTGTTTTCCATAGTCTCTCCTTTTGTTGGGAGGAGAGAGTGGAGTTAAAAATAATAGAAAGGTCTATAAATGTAAATCATAGGAACTGGTAATAAATTCTAATGCCTTAATATAGTTATGTGGGTCAGCAGAGAAAGAACCCAGTTTGTGAGAGATTTGTGAGGGACCGAAAACAGTAAAGGAACATGGATGCAGACTAGTCCTTCAGGGCCTCCAACACACAATTGAATGAAGAAAATGTGATTTCCGTACATGATGGAATACTGCTTGGTTATCAAGAAGGACAAATTTGAGACATATATTGGACAATGGTTGCATATGGACAATAGAATGTTGAGTGAAATAAACCAGACATAGAAGCTTCAACACCATTTGCTCTTTCTTATGTGAATAAGTCCAAGTACAAACAAAGAGAATAATAAAGGATGGATAGAAGGAGACAAAGGGATGGATTTTTTAAATTTTATTTTAAAAATGAAAGAAGGAAAACATATTAACAAGCAAACATCTATTTACCAAATAGCAAAGGACCAATACAAGCAATACAGAGTTACAGACGAAGTGGTAGGAAATTAACAATTATTGTTGTGTTATGTGTTGATATCTTCAAAGTGTTTTCCCAGGAAAACAGATAGAGACATGCAAGATTGATCAAATAAGTAATCATTAACTGTTCCTTTCAGTAAAGTTGTAGAAGTCAGTAGTACAGCTATGTTAGCTATCCTGTACATACATACATACATACATACATACATAATTTCCCCTTTCTTTTCTCTTTTCTCTATTCCCTCACCCCAACTGCTCTTTACTTTTGAACATTTTCCTTCCATTTCACAATGTCTATCATACCTCCTAATTTTTATTCACTCTTTCAGGTTCTTGCAGTAGTGAGACAATACATTGCTCACACATGGAGGTCTGATTTATTTCACATGAGTATGTTCTCTAGTTGTGACCATTTACCTGTAAAATCTTCAAGTTTATCTTTCCTTATAGCTGAGTAATACTCCATTATATAAAAGTACCACATTTTTTAAATCAATTCCTCAGTGGATGGGCATTTGTGCTGCTACCACGATATAGCTATTACAAATTGCACTGCTATAAACATAGATGCACATATATGGCTGTTATATGATGTTTTCATTTCTTCTGGGAAAATACCCAGTAGGGGAATGCCTGGGTTGAATGGACTTCTAGATCTAGTTTGCTGAGGAATCTCCAAACTGATTTCCACAGGGGTTTCACCAGGCTGCATTCCCACCAGCAGTGGAGAAGAGTTCCTATTTTTCCACAGCCTTGCCAGCATTTGTTATTGGTTGATTTTTTAATGCTAGCCATTCTTACTGGGGTGTGATGAAATCTCAATGTTGTTTTAATCTGCATTTCTCCAATGACTAATGATGTGGAACATTCTCTCATGTATTTATTTGTAATTTGTATTTCTTTATCTGAGAATTGTGTGTTCACCTCAGATTCCCATTTTAAGATTGGGTCTTTGATTTTGGGGTGGTGCTGATGTTTTTTAATTCTTTATATGTTCCAGATTCGAAGACCTTTGTCTGAGGGACTGTCAGCTAAAATGTTTTCCCAATTTGTGGGTTTTCTTTTCACTGTGCTGGTGATTTCTTTAGATGTGCTGAAACATTTCAGTAGGATGAGATCCCAGTTGCTGATGCTTTGAAGTATTTCCTGTGAGGTTTGGGTTTTGTTGGATTGCTTGCAAAAAGAAGGCTTTCAAGGGTTGAAGTGTGAGGAGTGAGTGAGAAGGTGAAAGCAGAGAAGTAGAATAACGATCTGCCA